TGGGAGTGGGGGGGAGAGTCACCTGCCTGCCCACACCATTTCTATCTACTCTTCACTAGGGAATGATATATCTGCCACACCCACCATGCCAGGGGCTGGGGGCTAGCAAAGGGGTATAAAGAGTAGCAAATACACAGTGCTTCTGAGACGAGCATGAGCCTGGAGAAGACGATGCAAAGGAGAAGAAGAGAAGACAAACCATTCCAGCCCCAACCAGGGATCTCCAAGCCCCTTTAGTGCTCTCTGGCTGAGGTCTTCACAGAAAACAAATCCTTGGGGAGCTGAAGAGGGCCTAAACTTCCCATCTCCAAAGGCCTTTTTAGAAAAGAGGGAGGAGACAAGTAGGGTGCGGTAGGGTGGGGCAGGGATGGGTAAGGTAGGAGGAGCCTGAATCTTCCAACGGCTGGATTTCAAAAATGTCACAGTATTCCAGTAGTTTAATAAGGCAAAGAACAATTAAAAAAAAAAAAAAAGTCCCAGTGGCTGAGAGGACTGGCCAGAGCAAAGGCTGCTAGGCTTGGCTGGGAAAATGAAAGTGGCTCACCCCAAGAAGTGAGGCAGGGAGGGACAGAGTCCAGATCCTCCTCCGATAACTCCAGGCAGAGGGTGAGGGTGGGGAGGTGGGGAAGGGTACAGACCTGGGCATACATAACACAACTTCCTGAGCCGTGAGCCTCTGCCCTCCGTCTCCCTCCCTCCCTTGCATTCCTGGGCCAAGCAGGCCAAGGACTGTGGGAGCTGCGGGGGAGCGGCTCTCCTGGAGCTGATCGGTGGGCCTGTCAGAGGCCAGGGGAAGTCCCAGACATGCAGGGCATGAAGGAGCACTTCAAAACTTTAACAGGAGCCCGGGAAAGGGTTGTGCAGTGGGGGCCATCGCCGTGCCCCTGCAGGGAGAAAGGGGGTCACCCGGCTTTGATGACCTCTCTCTGGTACCACTGGACATCTCCCAGCCTAGGAGCTCTGTTTTACTGGGTGTCATGTGTTCAAAGTCAGGCTGGGCAAAGTTGGCACGGTGCCAAGACTACCAAGAAAGTTCCAACAGGACCCTTTCACCTACTCCTAAGTGTTTTGGGTGCCTAGATGTCTTAGACCTGGCAAGGCCAGTTCGGCTTTGCCCAAGGCCCTCTCCCAGGCCCCAAATGATTGGCAAATTCCACCCTGACAGAATGTGGGCCTGCCACCAGCTCCTACTTGGCCCTGATGAACCCCGCCATTCCTTATATACCCCACCCTCTCCCAGAGACCTCTCCCTCCTCAGTCCTGTCTTGACAGTTTCCCTTGGCACTGCCAGTCACTCGCTGGGGGCAGTTCCGAGAGGGAGGAGACTATATGGCAAAGTTATCAGCCGCCTGGAGCCCGGGCAGGGGCGGCAGTCCATCTGCCCCTCCGCTCCTCTCCCGGCCCCACGCCGCCACTCACCGTGCCTTCAGCTCCTTGAATTCCTCTCGCACTTTGCTCAGCTCCAGCTGCAGGCGGGCGCGCTCCTTGGCCACCGAGTCGAGGGTCTTGCGGGCATCCCCCAGCTCGGCCTCGTAGGCGGCCTTTATGCCAGACACCTCGCGGCTGACCACCTCCTCAGACTCAGTGATGCGAAGGCGCAGACCCGCATTCTCCGTTTCCAGCGAGCGCACACGGTCGATGTAGACAGCCAAGCGGTCATTGAGCTCTTGCAGGTCCTCCTTCTCCTGCAGCCGGGTGATGCGGGTGGGTGACAGCGGGGTGGAGCTGGCCTGCGCCCCGCTGCGGGTGGCGCGCCGCTGGGACGGGGTCTCCATGAACGGCAGGGTGGCAGCACTGCCCGAGGGGCAGAGGTCCCGGGAAGGACGCGGGGCTCAGGCCGAAGGACAGAGACTGCTGGGGCAGGAGCGCGCCGGCCGGCTGGCTCTCGGCTGGCTCCTGGCAGGCTCGGGGATCTGGGCCGGGTGCAGTCGGACCTCGGGATCTGGGTTGGCCGGTGTGGATGCGGAGCTCCCGCGAACACTCTGAGTCACCGGCTCCCGGGCAAAGGCTCTAATAGGTCTAGGGAATGGGAGGAGGGGCCACTCTCTTAAAGGGGCCGTCGCTTACCCACAGGGGTGGGAGAGGGAGGGGTGAGAAGGGGAGAAGGCTGCCCGGGGTAGGGCCCCACCCTCCCTCAGGCACCTCCACGTGCCTGGGGCTTCCCTGAAGCGCGCCCTTAGGTCTCTACCTGCTCAGCGATCCAAGCTGAAAGCTTGCCCCCACTGCCTCAGGCCTTAGAGGGGGTAAAGGGCAGAGCCAAGGGGTGAGGCTGGGTGGGCAAAGGAAAGGGGGAAAAGGCGCAGTAGGCACAAATCAAGGGAAGGCGCCAGGCAGGCAGAGCCAGGAAAGTGGGGGGAAGGGTTGAGGCTGGTGCCCAGGAGGGTGACTCACTCTTCTTCCACCACTGGCTCCCCCTTTTCCTCCCCATAGTAATAGTGACTCACCCCTACTCCCCCCCAACACCCCCCCCCACCTCCATGAGTGGGCAGTCCATTCAAAGTGGCATCTCAGTATGCCAGGGTGGGGTGGGGAAGTATGCCTGGGTTCCCTGGGGTGGTTGGAGGGAGGGCTGCCACAAAGTTCTGGATCCTGAGTTCCTTTTACACCCTCGAATTCAGGGTGGGGACCAGAGTTTGGGGTCATTCTTTTCCTATCTTCTGCCCCAGTTTAATCTCCCTTTGAAATCAACCATTGGATCTTAGACTCAAAGAACAACCCCCAGACCCCAGAGAAGGTCAAGAATAGGACCCAAGTACTGCCCACCCGGTCCCCTTCCTTTGGACTCAAGCAGTCGGAAAAAGAGCCCGCCTGAAGTTCCTCCCAGCTTTGGTCCCTTTCTAGTCCTCAGCCCAGCCCAGCCCAGCCCACCCCACCAACCCCAGGACTGTACTTATTATTTTTTTTCCAGGACTGTACTTATTTTAATGGATAATTTAAAACAGATACTAGAGCTGTGCATGCATTCATCACATTGCTAGGACACCAGGTCCCAAATTTTTGTGGTTCCCAAAGGGGCCTAAAAGGGGGAGCAGGGCTGGGGGCTGGACAGCCAATGTTGGGTCTCCCTCCTGGTTTCAGCCAGAAAAGGGGGGTGATGGGGGTGGAGACAGCAAAGACACCCACAACCTTGTTGACTGCTGGGCCAGCACTGCACTTATCTCCACATTCCTCTCTGGCCAGGTCTGCTTTGCCACTGGCTCTGGGGAGGGGCCAGGCCTTCTCACAAAACAGGATTATCCAAGTCCCTGAGCTTCCCCACCCCAGGCTCTGGAGCTTCCATCCTCAGCAGACCCCTTTAATCAGCCTCCTACTCTCCTCTCCCATCCGGGCCCTGGCCCCACCATCTCATCCTAAGAGATGGCAGAGGCTGAGGCTCCAGAACCCATGTGCTTTCCTGCCCTGCCCCTGGGCCTCCCATGGCTTATTCTCTGATGAGGAACTGGGGAAATTAAATTATGTTGCTAACTCCTACAGCTCCAGGATATCAGGATACACAAGAGAAACAGGGCTGGACAGCTCTTCTGTTCTGGAGCTGGCTTCAGAGTGACAAGGGGCTGGGGCGGGATTAAGACAGGGACTCTGAGTGTTCAGGGAGAGAAACCCTCCCTGAGGGATGGCAGGTTCCCAGCTACATGGGTTGACTGGGCAGGGTGGTGAGCATGCAGGGGACTCAGAGTTGGGGGACCTGGGATATGGTTCCCCTCCCTGCAGCCCCCTCCCTCAGGGTGGGGCACCCACCTTCAGCTTCCCAGACAAACAGAAAGTCTTTCCCTGTTTCTCCCTCTCGTGTTCCCCAAGTCAGAACCAGAGGTGGGGTGAATGAGCCAGTGAAAAGTGAGGGACAGTGGCTGTTCCCACTGCTTCAGCCCCACTCCACAGGGCTCCCCCCCGCGCCACCCCCCCGCCACCCCACCCAGTCCCCGCCTGGCCTGGCCTGACTTCCCCTCCTGGCTGGGGAGGCAAAATCACACTTAACCCTTTCTCTCACAGACCTCCCCATCTTTGAGAAAAGAGGCAGGATAAAGGAGAGGGGCTTCTCAGCCTAAGTTTCTCTCTTTCCAAAGGGTTCACCACCACCACTACCACAATGGCCTCAGTCCTAAACCTGAACTTCAAAGTGGGCCTTTACCCTAAACATTCAAGCCTAACTCTGAATCCCAGATGTCATCATCTGCTCTCCCCCTGCCAGGGTGTAGATGGCCAGTCCCAGCAAAAGCAGAAGGCAGGGAAGGCCAGGTCCAGAGAAGCGGAGCCTGCTGGGGGTGAGGGTTGGCAAGAGTGGTGTCTCGGTGGAGACCAGTTTCCAATCCTGTCTCTCACTTGGCCAGGTGATGACAGGTCTGCTACTGAATTCTCTGGGCCTCAGCTTCCTCATCTGTAACAGGGGCAGAGTGGCTATCAAAGAAATGAGGGTTGAGCTACTATGTTTGCTTTCTAGGGAGTTGTCCACCGGTAGGTAAAACAGGAAGAGGCAAAACCAAGCACAAGTGGTTAAAGAGCAGCAGAGAACCCTGAACTGGATAATGGATTCCAAATTGGTTCCAGAAGCCTGGAAGCTGAAACATTAGTAAGTGATATTAGAATATAGTTGTTGAGTGCAAGGGTCCAACTACCAGAATACAATTGTTGGGCAGTGGAACAGACACTGGTCTTGAAGACCAATGACCTTAGGGAGGGGACCCTCTTCTTTCCCAAAGCATCCTGGACATCTGTGTCCCTAATACTTGGCCCAGTGCTTGCATTCACGAGGTGCTCAGTGTTTCTTAAATGAACAAATGCATCTGGCCCTGCCACTTCTCAGTTGACTGACTTTGGGCAAGTTCTATCTTTTCTTTCAGCCTGTTTCCTTGTCTATAGCATGGGGATGCTGCCATGATTAAGTCACATGCGTTTAAAGGGAGGCTTCAAAAAATAAAAAAAATAATAATAATAATAAAGGGAGGCTTCTTGGAGGAGGTAGGTTTCAGGCTTTACAGAAGTGCCTTATGCACAGAGTGAATTCACTCATCCAGCAAAGATTTACTGAATACCCACTGTGTGCCAGGCACTGCTCTAGACACTAAGGAGACAGCAGTGAATAAAACAGTCAAAATCCCAACCCTCATGGAGCTGACATCCGAGTGGAGGGAGAGGGTCCATAAATAAAAGACAAAATTATAGTTTGTTGCGGCTTCCCAAGTGTTAAAGAATCTGCCCGCCAGTGCGGGAGTCACAAGATACAGGTTCGATCCCTGGTGAAGATCCCCTGGAGGAGGGCATGGCAACCCACTCCAGTATTCTTGCCTGGAGAATCCTATGGACAGAGGAGCCTTTCGGGCTACAGTCTGGAGGGTCACAAAGAGTCGTACACAACTGAAGTGACCTAGCATGCACGCATGCATGCACGTAGGATTCTGCTCAACAAAATGGGTAACTGACACTTTGACACTCTTTAGTACGTTTTCACAAACATTCTCAATGTGGTCCACAAAACCACCTTATAGGCTGGAGATCATCTCCCTGTTTTACTGCTGAGGCTGACTTTCCCAAAACTAGACATTAATTGGCCGAGCCCAGAACATGGAAGAGGTGGCCTGGACCAGGATTCCTTCACTATATCTTATGCCACTTTGATGACGTGTGGGAGGAGTTGGGGTGGACTGGTGCTGGGAGGAATTCTGTACAGAGGTGCTGAAGTGGGCAAGAGCTGAGGAGGGTACACAGCTTAGCCGAGCAGGGAGACACTAGAGGTGAGGTGGGAAAGTGTGGGAGGAAAGGCAGGACTGGAGAAGAGGGAGATGGAGGCAGCCACCTGGCTCTGGGATGGAGACCTGTGGGAGAGAATCTGGCTGCTCGATAAGGCTGGGCTCAAGAAGGAGAGAAGGGAGGCCTTGAGACCGGCAAGGAAGGAGTCAGAGGCAGCAAGTTAAACAGAGTGGGCTCAGCAGAAGGGTGAAATGAGGAGGGCTTTGAGGGGCATACTAATAACGATTCATGTGGGGAGCATTTGTGGAGTACCTACCATTATTAAGCACTAGGTAGCCGCATTACTGTGTTGAACCTATACAATAGCTCTACATGGTAAGTACTGTTATTAGCCCTATTTTACAGGTGAGGAAACTGAAGCCCAGGGAGATTAAATTATTCCTTTAAGGCAGGGATTGTCAAAGTTTGCCCTATTGACATTTTGGGCCAGATCATTCTTTGTTGGGTGGGGAAGGGTCTGGGCACTGTGGGATATTTTGCTGCCTCCCTGGCCCTCTATCCACCTCTGCCCCCAGTTTATGACAATCAAAAATATCTTCAGACAGTGCCAGTGTCCCCTGTGGGGCAAAATCACCTCCAATTGTGAACCACTTACCTAAGGTCATATGGTGAGTAGCAGGACTGAAATTTTAATACAGGTGGACTTGACTTTGAACACCAAACACTTACTATCAGGCTGTAATTCTAGACAGGTAGGAGTGGGAGAGAGAGAAGCATTCAAATGGATCCTAGGCCACTGGGGAGACAACTCCCCCACAGGGATGGGAAGAGGAGAACTCCTGGAGGAGGGTCTAGGGAGTGGAGGCTGATTTGGAAAGTGGGAGCTGGCTGAGAGCCATGGTTTGAGGATCCCTTTATAGTAGGTTCCAGAGGGAAGGTCCCTTTCTTATTCATTCTTTGATCACAGGGTCTGGCACAGAACACCTGTTGAACTGCTGAGTCACTCGTGCACAGGTGAATATTATAAACTTGAGAGTGGAAGGACTCGCCTGTTCTGTAAGTGGCTGTCATGTACAAGGCACCCGGCGAGGGGCTGTGTGGGGCTGATCCCACTTAATCTCCACCTAAGCCCTAGGAAGGAGGTATTATTAGGCATTGGCAAGTATTGGCATTTTATGTACCCAAACCCCCAGACTCTGAAAGGTTGGCTAATTGACCTCAGGCCGCCCAGCTGATTAGACTGCCTTCTTCCTACTCAGCCTCAGCTAGATGGAATGATGCAGGCTGTGGGCAATCCTTTTAGCTTAGTTTAGCCAGGAAGGCCCTTAAAAGGAATGTGTTTGACAGCCCTTTGGAAAGACAAAGAACTCCTCATTTGAATGAAATCTCACCCCCAGAGCCTAATATACTACATGACAGAGGCAGAGCCTCTCTAGCAGGGAAATTTTGGGACCCCTTCTTGGTGACCCCTTGCCCAGAGGGCCCTTAGGGCTCTGGGGAATAAGCCCCCTTTGTTTACAAGTAGGCTTCTAAGGCCAGAGGAGAAAAGATTTGCCCAAGGTCACACAGGTAGACCTGCCCAGAACTCCTGAAATAGTGCCCTGACCCTATCATATGCTACCACAGGAGACGTAACACCCTGCACACGTTTGAGGGAGGGCATTAATATCACCTTGATGTGGGGCTGCTGGCTGCTGAGCCAGAGTCCACGTCTATTCCTTCAGGAAACCAGCCTGGCCAGAAAGAGCCGCTGGACAATGGGCAGAGAACCAGTCCTTTACATCTCACACCTGGCTGGGCAGGTCTCCCAGGTGTGGCCCTTTCATAATCAAGATTACTACCATAACAGTCTCAAATCTCTTAGAGATGCACAAATATCATTACCCCCATCATACAGATGAGGAAATTGAGGCTTGGGTGGGTTAACTGATTTGCTCAAGGCCACGCAGCAGACAAGTGACAGGAGGAGGCCTCAAACCCCAGGTGTCCGCCTCCAGGTTAACTAACATCCCACCTCTTCAGCTCAAACCCAGAGGAGACAAATCCAACAGCATGATCCAAGGATCTGCCTGGGAGCTCCAGCCCAACATTTCAAACCCCCTTCCCCACCCAACTGGGCCAAGAGAGCCGCCCACCTGAGAGCCTCTAGTTTCCAGAACTGTCACAGGACACACCAGAATACACACCAGACTAGGGCCAGAGAGGAACTCCGCAGTGACAGCTCCCTCTCTGATCGCCAGGCCCCAGATTTGGCCCCGCCCACCAGGTGAGGGGGGGGTGGGTGGGCGTGGAAGGGGGTGGGTGGGCGTGGAAGGGGCGGGGCACCGAAGACGTGGGTGGAGCCAAGTGGACCGGCTGGCCCCGGGCTGATGGGCTGGGGCTGGTAGGTTGGCTCGGGCTCGGGCTGGGTGGTTCCTCCCTCCTTCCCGCCCGGAGGCGGGCAGTGCTGCCGGCTCGTGCTGACGCAGGCGCCTGCGTGTGGGCGGCTGCCTGTGAGTCTGTGTGTCTCTCTGTGTGTGTGGTTGCTGGGGCCTCCCAGGTCTCCTAAATGGGGGTTTCCTCTCCCTGTTGTCAAGGAAACAAACAGAAGCTCCACAACTCCAGGGCTGGGGCTGGGGTTGGAAGAGCAGGGACCTCAAGCCCTACACACCCATACATTTCCAGAAGGTGAGGCAGAAAAGGATTCCCTGTGCCCCTCCGCTCGCAGGGTACTGACCAAACGTGAGCAAACAGTGGGGCCCTGAAACTGGAGTAGCCCCCTGCTCTGTTTGCAGAGCGCTGGGGAGTTTCCTAAGACAAGGATCTAGCGCTGCTCAAACCAGGACAGGGCCTGGCAAACCGAACAACTGGTCTCTCTACATGCTCGTCCAAGTCTTGTGGGGAGCCTCTTTTTAAGATATAAGAATATCTTTTACAGATTTTACACAGATATATGACCATGTGGAAACATGGGCAGACACCTCTGAGGGTCTTGGAAAGGCCTGTGCAGCTGAGGGTCCCTGAGCTTCCCCTTCACCACCTTCACTAGAAACCCACCTGAGGCCCCAGCCCCCACAGCCCTTGCGCTCCTTCAGTCGCTTTGAAGGCTAACCCTCTCTCCCACCAGGCACTCACACTAGGGGGATCCACTGGGAAGGTGAACTCTTGAAAGGAGGATGGTGTTAATCTGCAGATTTCCTGGTGGGTGGACCAAGCAAAGGGCTCTTTCTGGAGAAGTGGTTGGGTGGCCAGGTGGGGCAGGTGGCTCGGCAGCGTCTCCGCCAAGATCAAGAGCTCCTGGAGGGAGGCGCCATGGGTGGGGGCGGAACTGTGTTGGGCCAGTGCTTCAGCATTCATTGCCTAGAAGCCAGAACTTCGGAGCTGGGAGGAGTTAGGGCACCACACAGACCAACCCCCTCATTTCTAGACCCGCGTTGGTCGAACTCCCCAGATTGCCCTGTCCCACCATCCCTATGCCGCCCACAGGCCTGCCCCAGAGTAGCACCCCATTTACCCTCTTTGTCCAGTAAATCCAAAGCTTACAGGGCATCCTGAGAGCCCACCTCACTTTGGCCCTCGACCCTTGAGGGGCTCTTAACAGGTAATGGGGAAACCACTGGAGCAAGGGTGGGGCAGCAGGGCCCTGGTCGGGAGAGAGAGGATGCATGGGCTAAGGCTGGGCTCCCAGGCTGCCCAGGGAGGGGCCAAGGGGGCATCTGTTTCCTCTTGGCCAGGATTCCCTCAATCTCATCCCCAGAGGAGGTGAAAATGGTGCTGGCTTCCCAAAGCGGAGCTTCCTGGCCTGGGAATGGAGGATGGTCGAGGTGTCCATCAAAACATCCTGTGTCCCCCTCTTCCCTCTGCCTGGAGCTTCAGGGAGCTCAGCTAGGGTTTAGGGGTGGGGGCACACTTCCTGTTGCAGCAGAGAGGTGAGATCCTGGGGCTCGGTGAGCACCAATGATGTACCTGAAGCTTTAGCCAGGCTGGACTCTCAGTGGGTGTAGTGGGGTAAGGGAAGGGGACTTGTCTGGCTCGGGTGGGGCCTCACCTTAGTGGACCAGGGGTGGAGGATGGACCAGAGAGAGGGGAGCACAGAGGGTAAGTGGGGATGAGGGAGAGATACGAGTGAGTAAATGAAGGAGGTTAGGGAAGAAGTCTACCTTGAGAGACGAAGAACTGAGCTTTGAGGTAAGGGGCAGGGGGATCAGATCTGGAGTCCAGGCCGGGGGGGGGGGGGCGGGACAAGGAGGAGTGGAGAGCTGGGCAGAGGGGGAGCCCAGGAATTGAGGAGAGGGGCAGTTGCCCAAGCTGACGCCAGCACTCCAGCCCCAGATCCTGGTGGGGCAAATATTTACCAGGCAACAGTTGCTAAGTAAGGAGGAAGGCGGAGCAAAGCCAATAGCTAGAGGGCTTTCTAGGCTCCTCCCAGCTCTCACAAAAGAGAGGGTGAGCCATACAGTTCTCCTCAGCCCATCACCCCCACCATACAGGCGTGGCTACATCCCTTCATGCACACAGATCCTTGAATCACCCCTACCAATGCCCCCCGCCCCCACCAAACCCCAAGCTGGTAAGAGGACAGCAGGCTGGGCTAGGGGCAACTTAATCCCGGGGCTGCCAGGCCCTCTGCCTACCCTACGACAGCTCTGCGGGTTCAAACCTTGTCAAATTCCCCTTCCCAATCTGCTGTTTAGTGGGGGCTGGAGAGGAGGGTGGTCCAAGCAGTCAGGATACAGTGAGGGAGAGGATGCTGAAGGATGAAGTCAAGACGTCCAGGGGGTGCAGGCTGCAAGAGAGGATGCGGAGGCGGAAAGGCGGGGAAGGAGTGACTCCATTAGAGGCCGTGCAAGGACAGGCAACTGGGGGCTGCTGGACCCAGAGAGGAGGGATTCTCAGGAGTCCCTCCTGCCCTGGCCCCTGGGCAGAGGAGGAGGAGGGCAGAGGAGGAGGAGGGCAGAGGAGGGGAGGGTGTGCTCAAATGGAGCCAGATGTGGCCCATGTGATGTGGGCTGTTGCTGGCATGGGCACAGTGGGGGGCAGGGCATACAACTGCTGCCAGAAAGAATTAGTCAGAAGCTGGGAGGGGACAGGGAAGAAGGACCGCTAGCCCAGGACCCTTGGGGGAGCAGATGGGAGCTCTGGGAAAGGGTGGGAGGGCTCACAGCCTGCAAGAAGGGGTTGAGATGACCGCCCAACCCCCCTCAAGGTTCCCATCCATTGCTCTGGCTGAGCCCCGATTTCCTCATGCAGAATAGACATCCTGACACCTCTTCCCAGGACAGAAGACATGGCGAGGGCCCAGCTCAAGGCCCAACACGTGACAGGGGCTCTCTTCTTTTTACCCACCTTATCAGGGTGAGGTCTCTGCTCTGCAGGGCTTCTCTTTGAGGGTCAGTGGGTTGTCACCCTCGGCCACAGACCCTCTGGAAATTGGGATGCAGGAAGGGGAGGGAAGGGCACAAAGAGGAAGCTGCTATGGCAGAGAGGCGGTTCCGAACCCAAGCTCCTGCTGATGGAGGTTCTTGAGGGTCGAAGGGTCGGCCAGAGTGACTGCAGGCCCCATGGGTCCACCCTGAAATGGAGGTAGATGGAGGGCCTTCACTATGGAATGACACCAGAGAAGAGACCGAGGCGCCTCCCCAGGGGGTACTTCCTGGAGCCCAGAGCTCACATAGCATGAGCCGGCCGAGAGGAAGGGGTTGGGATCCCAGAAACAAGGCAGACTTGAGGGGTGGGCCAGGGCACAGCCCTGTAGAAACAGACAGAGGGACCCTTGGAGGGCCAGGTCCAAGCTGGCAATAGAAAGAGTGTTGCTTTCCAAATTCCCGTCGGAAAGTCTGAAAAATACACATGGAAACATGACTCACTGCCCCCTCCCCATGGCCCCCCTTTCCTGATTTCTGTGATTTTTTTTTTTCTCCCAAGAGTTAATTCAAGTCACATTCTCATAGAAACCATACTTAATGAGGGAGGGTAAAGGGTGGGCTGAAGGAGGCAGAGAGGCACCACAGGAGCTGTCTAGAGATGGAGAGGTGTCCTGGGCTGGGGCAGACAAGTGTGCGGCAGTCTAGCCGCAGGGGAACACCTCAGGCCCAGAGAATTCAGCTTCCAAACACTGAGATGCTCAAGAGAAGGAAGTAGAATTCATTCACACGACCGCAGCCAAAACTGCTGCAGAGTGACTGCCGCACCATTGCCCTGTGGAGCCCAGGCCCAGAGAGCGGCCTTCTGGCCTCCTCCTCAGAATCCATTCCCAAGGCCACAACTGAGGCCAGAGGCCCAAGGAGGTGGGAGTGGTGGCGGAGCTCCCTGAACTCATCACCTCCACAGCTCCCTGCCCAAAACCTGTGTCCCCGGAGCTGGCCTCTCTCCCTTTGGGCTGGGGAGGATGCCGGCAGGCCTGCCCCCACAGGGTGTCCCTGGGCCAGGAAGTCCCAGCCTATCCACAGGAGGCCAAGGAAAGGGAAGCCTGGCCCTGGGCCAAAGGTGAGGGGCCCTTCCACTCCAGACGGCTCTTTGGAGAGGCCTCCCAAGGTTCCCAGGGCAGGGTGATTGCTGAGCTCCCACACTCGCCATCCCTCCGTGGATGCCCCACATGGAGTTCCTCAGGTCTCCCCACCACCACTCCAGCCCCGCTCCATGCCTCCTTCCTCAGCCTCACCCTTTCTGTCTCCCTTGGCGAGTAACCCCCCAAAGTCCTCTGGATCCAGAATCTCTCTCCGTTCTGCCCACTGCCTCCAGCTCCTGTGGTTCTTTTTGTTTTGTTTTTTTGGCCATGACACGCGGCTTGTGGGATTTTCGTTCCCCCAACCCGGGCCCTCAGCATTGAGAGCATGGAGTCCTCACCACTGGACCACCAGGGAGTTCCCCAGCGCCGAGGTTCTGATATCACACCTCCGGCCGTCGCCTGAGGAACTGCAGGAGCCTCCGGCCAGCCTTCCTGCTTCCGCCTTTGCTTCTGTTCCAATCCTTTCTCCTTCCTAAACCACAGCCATCTTTCCAAAATGTAAACCTCGACGTGTTTCCACAAGACTTCAGACTCCCTGACTGTATTCAGGATAAAGTCCAAATTCCTTGAGCTGGAGTGTAAAGCCCTCTTTGACCCAGGCTCTGCTCCTTATCTTTAGCCTCGCCGCTTGCCTCTAGCTTCCAGCAGTCCTGATCTCTCTCGTTTATTCTGAGCTAACCTTCTGGGACGTGGCACACACTTTGTCCTCTGACCAGCCCCTCCTCATTCTCCAGGCTCAGCCAAGAGAGTCACTAAGTCTGGGTTAGGTGTCCTGCTAAGCCCCCAACATCTCTTGTCACATGAAATTGACAGTGTTCACCTCTGTCTTCCCACAGCGGGGCAACTGCTTGAGGGTAGAGGCTGGGTGGGTCTGGTGCTGGTGGTTTAGTCGCTAAGTCGTTTCCAACTCTAGAGACCCCACAGACAGTAGCCTGCCAGGCTCCTCTGTCCATGGATTCTCCAGACAAGAATACTGGAGTGGGTTGCCATTCCCTTCTCCAGGGCATCTTCCCAACCCAGGAATTGAACTGCAGATTCTTTACCAACTGAGCTGGTGGGTCTGACTCTTCCCTTTATTCCGAGATACCCAGCATGGTACCTAGGGACAGAGAAGTTTCTCTTCACATGTGAGCCGAACATCTCAACATATCTCCCTCCTGAACGGGTACTCCCAAAGCTCGATTTCTCCCTCTACTTTTTCCACTCACCCCACTCTTCACCACCTAATTCTAGCCCCGCCTGCCTCCCACGTGCCTCTCTGAATCGGAGCTCTTCATATGCCCTGCAGCCAGGCCTCTCTCCACGCCCAGCTGAGTCTCAATACCAGTAGTAACCACAGCTACTATTTACTGGGTGCTTGCTGTGTGGCAGGGCCTGATCTAGGTTCTTTCCATTCATTGGCTCATTCCATACCAGGCAGAAGCTAAAAAAAGAGATTGGCCCAAGAACCTGACTTGTCCGATGGTTCAGTACCAGTCTCTCCAGGAGTGCATAACTCTGTCATCACTGTGTGTAAAGGAGATAGGGTATATGCTGGGCCAATAAATGTTTATTGAGGGAAGGAACAATGTAATTGCCTACCTGTGGAGCAGGTCCCATCTCTAGTGAAACATGATCTCTGAGCAGCCCTGAAAGGTGAGCCGGCCAGGGCATTAGTCTCACTTTATAGAAGAGGACTTGGTCCAAGTGAGTGAGGAGAGACCTGCTTCTGGCCACACAGGTGGTCGTGGGTGCCCGTTCAGTGGCAGCACCTCCGGGCCTTGCAGAGGGTCCCGTGTGGCTCAGTCAGGGGGCTGCTGTCCAGAATGGGGGTGAGGGTAGGGAAGGATTTACTTGCGAGTTGTCAGGAGTCATGGCTGGAGGAAACCCAGTGGTCTCAACCCTCACTGGGCAACAAAATCACTTGGTGGTGGTGGGGGGCTGAGAGGTGGGGACACTTCCTCTGTGGTTCAGTGGTTAAGAACCCGCCTTCCAACTCAGGGTACATGGGTTCAATCCCTAGTCAGGGAACTAAGATCCCACAACTAAGCCTGAGTCCCACAACCACTAAGCCCAAGCGTTCTAGAGCCCGTGCTCTGAAACAAGAGAAGCCCCCCTCTCACCACAACTAGAGAAAGCCCACGTGCCACAACAAAGACCCATCATAGCCAAAAAAAAAATAATAAATTGCTTGGGAGAGGGAGCTTTCAAAACTGCCAGCGCCCAAAGTCTTAGATATTTTGATTCAATAATTCGTCTAGGGTGCCTGCTGCTGCTGCTGCTAAGTAGCTTCAGTAGTGTCTGACTCTGTGCGACCCCATAGATGGCAGCCCACAAGGCTCCGCCGATCCTGGGATTCTCCAGGCAAGAACACTGGAGTGGGTTGCCATTTCCTTTTCCAATGCATGCAAGTGAAAAGTGAAAGTGAAGTCGCTCAGTCGTGTCCAACTCTTCGCAACCCCATGGACTGCAGCCTACCAGGCTCCTCCATCCATGGGATTTTCCAGGCAAGAGTACTGGAGTGGGGTGCCATTGCCTTCTCCCGTCTAGGGTGGAACCCTGGCATTTTTCAGTAAACACTGCTTTAGTCTTCATTTAACAGAGAAACTGAGGTTTGGAGTATGAATTACAATGACAGCTAACACTGAGTGCCGATGATGCCCGGCTCTGTTCTACATAGAGCAGGTGCATTATTCACCTGATCCTCACCGTAACCCTGCACGGGAAGGACTGTTATTATCAGCTCCACTTTACGAGTGAGAAAACAAAGTCCAGTGGGTCCAGGGTCACACACCAGTCAGTGGTGGAGCTGGGATTCAGATCCCAGAGACCTGGCTTGGAAGCGCCCACTCTCAACCCCAGAGCTGCAAAGGAGCCAGTGGCAGAGCCAGGCCCAGACAGGTGCCACCTCCTCTAGAGAGAAAAGTCAGAAAGCTGGTGAGAGTGGGTAAACTGAGAGCAGAGAAGCCTCAGTCCAGATGGGAGGCCTGGAAGCTCCCAGCCCCTCGCTCACAGAGGGGGAAGGGGATGGGTGATGAGGAGCTGGGCAGTGAGGCAACTTCCCCATGGGACCACCCTTCCACCTGTCTGCCTCCCTTGCCTCCTGGAGAGGAGCCCTGACCAGCCCCAGCTGAGCCGGCACCTACCCTGTGCTAATTGATGGAGCCTCCTAATTGCTGATCACAAGCAGGCAATTAAGTCCAATTAGGGAGCTAGAGCTAATTAGTGCTCAGTTTCCTTCAGCCTCTGGGCACCCCTGGGGTCTGCAGGAACCTGCTGCCCACCTCTCCCCACCCCCAGGGAAGAGAATTGCTGCTTATAGTGAGCGTGTCAAAAGTTCATTTGGCTTCCTTGCTCTCCTAAGGATCAAGGGTCAAGCACCTCGGCTTATCCCCCATCTCTGCACTGGGGGGCAGCTCTGTCTCCAGTCCCACCACACATGACTTGCCTTCCTTGACATCTGACAGACAACATTCATGTCACCCCATAATTCATAAGGACCATCCCATTCATCACCCTGAAAACCCTGGAGGTAGGGCACTCCATATCATCACTGGGGCCCAGAGAGGGTAAGTGATTTGCCTAAGATCACACAGTCCACTTTGACCAAAGATCCTATACCCCCTGACATATGTGATAAACCTTTCTGATGATCTCCCCTCTATCATTCCGGCTGTCACATGGCAGACAGGTGGGGCATGAGTTGTGTACCTTCTTTTCACGTGCTATACTATGGGCTTCCCTGGTGGCTCAGTGGTTAAGAATCCACCTACCAATGCAGGAAACACAGGTTTGATCCCTGGGTCAGGAAGATCCCCTGAAGAAGAGAATGGCAACCCACTCTAGTATTCTTGCCTGGAAATCCCATAGACAGAGGAGCCTGGCGGGCTCTAGTCCGTGGGGTCTCAAAAGAGTTGGACACAATTTAGAGACTACACAACAACAACAAACCTATACTAGGTTAGGTTTCTCCATTTACTCTGCTGTCTTCCCTCTGTTCCTCTGCCTCACTCCAATTCCGAGAACCAGTGTCAGATTCAAAGAGGTTCTTTCTGAGATCACAGAACTTAAGAATCAGAAGACAGGGGATATAGTTCTCTCTTCTACTAATTCATTCTGTGACCTTGGAGAAATTGCTTCCCTTCTACAGGCCTCGGTTTTCTCATCTGAAAAACAGGCGGACTGGGCGGGAAGATTTCCAAGCCATTTCCACCTCCATCCCTTCTGCTTCAAGGGAAGAGATGATGAAGAGCCAGAGCTCCTTCTTGCATGTCATCAGGACCCCGGGATGGGACAGGACTACTCCCTTTCATACTGAAATTCTGGGGGCCCCACAGCTAGACAAGAATGAAACTGTGCTGGGACTTCCCTGGTGGCCCAGTGGCTAAGATGCCATGCTGCCAATACAGGGGGCATGGATTCCATCCCTTGTTGAGGAACTAAGATCCCACATGCCATGCAGTATGGCCAAGAGATTGAAAAACAAAAAAATAAATATAACAAAGGATACATTGGAAACATAAAAAAAGAATGAAACTGTCCTGATAGCATCAGAGAATGCTGGGAATTGCCGGCTCTAGCAGGGGCTGGGAGCAGGAAGTAAGGGGGCAAACTTGATGACCTTTCTCACTATCACGGTCTCCCTCTCTCTCTCTCTCTCTCTCTCTCTCTCTCTCTCTCTCTCTCACACACACACACACACACACACACACACACACAACTACCCCAAGGACCAGGATACACGAAAAGTTGTATATTGGATGGCCAGAACTAGGGCCTGCTTCTTTGGACTTAGAGGATGGTGAGAGGCAGGCTAGATGCAGTTTCTGGCTCACATCAGGCTGTACGTTTTGCCAAACTCCCTCTCAATCAGGGTTGGATTCACAGAGGGCAGGGCAAGCAGGGAGGCTGGGGGAGATGGAGGGGGTCCCCTCCTGTCTCCTAGTCACACTGTAGCTTCCATGCCCCTGATCTGCTCTCTGGATCTTCACAAGGATGGTTAGAGTCAGACTAGTCTGACTCTAACCATCCTTGTGAAGGTCTAGTCAAGGCTATGGTTTTTCCAGTGATCATGTATGGATGTGAGAGTTGGACTGTGAAGAAAGCTGAGCGCCAAAGAATTGATGCTTTTGAACTGCAGTGTTGGAGAAGACTCTTGAGAGTCCCTTGGACTGCAAGGAGACCCAACCAGTCCATCCTCAAGGAGATCAGTCCTGGGTGTTCACTGGAAGGACTGATGCTGAAGCTGAAACTCCAATACTTTGGCCACCTGATGCGAAGAGCTGACTCACTGGAAAAGACCCTGATGCTGGGAGGGATTGGGGGCAGGAGGAGAAGGGGACGACAGAGGATGAGATGGCTGGATGGCATCACCGACTCGATGGACATGAGTTTGAGTAAACTCCAGGAGTTGGTGATGGACAAGGAGGCCTGGCGTGCTGCGATTCATGGGGTCGCAAAGAGTCAGACACGACTGAGCGACTGAACTGACCTGAGACTGGATTCTAATCTTCACTCAGTCACTCATGTCCTACTTGAGTCACCCTTGAGTTACTAGAGTCACCCTTGGCCAGCCTGACAGTTTCCTCTTCTGTAAAATGGGCTAGCACTAATTCCAGGGGCCGTTGTGAGCACCAAGCAAGATGTGCATGTCCCGTGAGGAGCAGGGGCCCTGCCCCTTGTCAGGGCTCATCTCCCCTCGAAGCATCTGAAAGAGCACAGGTCCAGCGGCTGTGGTTGGGGGAGCGTGTGCTGAACACCAAGAGGGAGCCACAAGGCATCAGGTGCCTAGCACCCAGTCCCTCTGAAGCTTTCCCCTTCCTGTGGTGAATCACTCCTCACCAACCCTGGGGACTCAGGAGTCCCCAGCTTGCCACAAACACTACCACTGTCATAGAAACCGGGCCTCCCCTTCCTCTCTGGCTGACTGATTTCACCACATTGTCCCCCACACTGTCTCTGGTTCCTAGATCTCGGCTTTTGACTCACTGATTGAATCGCTTCTCATTCTCGTCCCCAAGATACTATCAACCTCGTCCCCGCTTCCTGGTTTGTGCCCACAGCCCCTCAAGCAGGGCCCCTTTCCCCAGTGGCCTCCACTCCCTCCTCTGCCAGGTTAGGCCGGGCACCCCCTAGAAACATGTCTGCCCAGGAGAGATGAGTGAGCGTTGGCCCCGGCTCTGGCTTCCCGGCACCTCCCACGTGGGGGGCCCAGTGCAAACTCCTTTAGCGCGGGATTGTGAAACCAGCAAGGGCAAGGGAGGTGGCCGCGGGCAGAGACTGACGGGCACTGGCGCCACCTGCTGGCCCCGGGGGGACTAGCCCCACCTTCTCCCTGCGGGTGGGCGTAACCAGGCCGGTCCTGAGTGGCAGAGGGCCCTGGCTCTGAGCCTCGTCAGGGCAGTCATCCACATCGTTCGTTCGTCCCTTCATTCACAGATATTTACCATCTGTGTGCCCCAGAGAGCTCTCTTCCTCGCGGAACAAGCAATAAAAATGGCACGAGTGCCCCCAAAGATGCAGCTCTGGAAGGCAGGGGCAGAGAACCAGGTCCCTAACCAGGGGTGATTAAGCTAAGTCCTGAGTAACAATCACCAACATTCATGAAGCACTTTCTGTCTACTGGACACTACGTCAGTACTTTACCTGCCTCTTCCCACTAATCACATGACAAACCCATGGGGTAATTGCTACCATTATCTTCCCTTTATTCATGCGGAAAACAAGTTCAGAGACATTAAGTAATTTGCATAGGGCTCATGGGCAGCAGGCAGCAGTACCACCTGCCTACCTGTAGCCCAGGTGTGGAGGACACCCACACGACGGGCTCCCGCTTCAACAGCTGGGCAGAAAGGCAGGACAAAGTGCGTGTCGGGGGAGGAAACGACAGGCCTGGGAACCACCGGCCCTGTGGACAGAGGAGGGGAGATGAGCAAAGGAGACTGAAAAAGAGCGCCAGGCAAGTAGGAGAAAAGTCAGGGCTGAAATAAAGCATTTGGAGAAGGAAGAAGGGACCAGCAGGGTCAGAGGTCAGTGGTCGAGCTGAGGCTGGACTCAGCCCCTGCTCTGAGGGAGACGGTGAATGTGGGAAGGTGGGGCCGGAAACACCTGGAGAGCAGGGCAGGTAATCCCTCTGCACAGGTCTGACGTCAGGGCTTGGGCCAACCAACAGGCCTGGAGTAGTCTGGGAAGGCTGTCTGGGAGAGACAGGTAGAGTTACTACCGGGAAGGTCACGGAAGTACCTCAAGAAAACTGGTAAAAGGGTGGTAATAAGGGGAGAACTGGCTTCCCACATGACGCTACTAATAAAGAACCTGCCTGCCAATGCAGGAGATATGAGACACGGGTTCAATCCCCGGGTCGGGAAGATCCCCTGGAGGAGGAAATGGCAACCCACTTCTGTATTCTTGCCTGGAGAATTCCATGGACAGAGGGGCCTGGTGGGCTACAGTCCATGGGGTTGCAAAAGAGACCCGACTGAAGTGACTTAGCCAAAGGTATAACTGGCAACCTGGGTACAACTGGCCAAGTCCCAAACTGGACACAACTGGGGAGCAGCCTGGCCTCCCTCAGGCTCTGGAGGGGGGCCTTATGCAAGGATGTTAAAACAAGAAAGTGCCTGGAAGGCCCTTTAGCCCAAGCCACCCCACCTGTAGTCCCACTGGTAGTACAAGGTGGCTTGTACCCGTTGGTAACAGACCTTGCTCACACTGAAATCAGCCATGGTGAGAGAATTTACACCCTGGAAATCGACAACTGCCGCCAACCAGGGCTTCCCCTCACCGCACCCCTGTGATTAAACTTGTGCAAGTACATCTCTGGTCTACCTTCTCCTGCCCCTGCTTTACAGAAGAGGAAACTGAGGCCCAAGGATGGGGAGGGACTTTTTCAGTATCATAGAGTAATTTTCTTCCACTTGTTCATTTATCATTTGCTTAACAAAGGTTTATTGAGTGCCCCCACCCCCCCTAGACTTTGTGGAGACATGTCCCTCATCCCAGGGGCACCTGAAGTCTGGACTAGCATACAGAACATGCTCACTGGCTGTGATGGCATGGTGCTGAGGGCTGATCACCACAAAAGGGACAGGTACCAGAGCCACGGCAGACAGGAGGGGCACCAGCGTCCATCAGCACGGTCAGGAAGGCCTCTTGGAGGACAGGACTCCTGAGCTAAGCTCTGAAGGATGAGTGGGAGACAGACAAGGCGATGGGGACGAGAAGGTTGGAGGCAGAGAGAACAGCATCTGCAAAGGTGTAGCAGGAGAGAGGGCCTAGGGGGAGGGCCTGGCAGGAGCACATGACCTGTGGGTACTTCTTCCTACTCTCAAGGACCCTTGGTCCAAAACTCCTTTTACCAGGAGCAACCGAGAGGCAGGGTATACTGCTTAGACCCCTTCTGAGCCATCAGTCAGAAGTCACACCAGTGAATTAGCACCATTATGGAGCTCCTGCTGGGTATGAGTTCCAGACTAGGCACTGGGGAGAGGAGGAATCCAGGGAGGGGTATATATGAAGCATCATGCAAACAGCACCCCCTAGGAGATCAGGTAAGAAATGTCTGTGAGGGCCCGGGTCGGGGGTGGGGAGAGCAGGGGAGAGAGGCAGTTGGGTGTGGAGGGTGGGGGGTATGATGGAAGAGCAGAGGGAGAAGATGAATATTTGGTGGGGTGTGGGGGCCAGAGGCTGTTCAAGAGGAAAGTATGGATGAGCACGCACATCCATAGCTTCTAAGCAACAAACATTAAGCACTTACTGTGTGCCAGGCACAGGTGCTGGGAATACAAGAGTGGGCTAGAGCCCGTCAGTCTTCCAGTGGCTCCCAGGTACTGGGGAGACAGAACTCTAGATGGACAGTTACAATATAGTGTGATGAATGGTGAGAGGTCCCCAAAAATGACGAGGGGAGATTTCCCGGGGAAAATGACATGTAATTTGAGTCCTGCAAGATGAACCAGCATGAGCCAGGTGAAGTGTGAGGGAACAGTAGATGGGACAGCCCAGGCCAAAGCTGGATGACAGGCAGAACAAGGTGTGCTGAAAGCCCTGAAAGAGGCCCGTGTGGCTGGGGTGGAGGGAGGAAGGGCAGGAGCAGCTGAACTGCTGCGCAGAGGGAGGAATGTGAAGGACATTCTGAAACACACTAGGGAGGAACTTAGTGGTTAAACTAGTGGTCCAGTGGTTAAATCTCTGTGTTTCCAATGCAGGGGGTACAGGTTCAATCCCTGGTCAGAAAACTAAGATCCCACGTGCTGTATAGCCAAAAAAAAAAAAAACGTTTTTTAAGTAAACCAGCTGAGGGCTTCCCAGGTGTCTCAGTTCTAAGGTAAGTCTGCCTGCCAATCCAGGAGACACGAGTCCAATCCCCAATTCGGTAAGATTCCACATGCTGTGGAACAAGAGATACTGGTTCGATCCCCGGGTTGGGAAGATACCCTGCAGAAAGAAATGGCAACCCATTTCAGTATTCCTGCCTGGAGAATCCCATGGACACAGGGCCGAGTGGGCTCCAGTTGATGGGAAGCAAAGAGTTGGACCCGACCGAGCACAGCGCAGCACAAACCATACTAAGGAGTTTGGCCTCGGATCTAATGACAATAGGGAGCTAATAAAGGGTTTTAAGAAGAAGAGTTTCATGATCAGATTTTTTTTTTTTTTTAATGATCTCTCTGGCCACCTTGTGGAGAATGGATTGAAGGGACCGGGGAGACAAGAGTGGAGAAGAGAGACCAGTAAGAGATTACTGCAGACAGGAAAGGATGATGGCTTGGATGAGGAGGGTAGCAGCAGCCGCTGATGGATTTGGGAAATGTTTTGAGGCGCAGTTGACAGAACTTGTTGATGGATTAGATGGGAGGAATTAAGGAAAAGACAGGAATCATAGATGGCTTGAGCCACCAGGTGGAGGGTAATGTCATTTACCAGAAGCAGGGGGCGGGGAAACAGGTTTGGACTGTTGTCACAGAGCCAGGACTAAAAACTCAGGACTCCTGATTCCAAGCCAGCACCTGTTTTCCCTGGGGGGACTGCTGGGAGAAGGCGGGGAGAATGTGGGATAGAGGAAGAGGAACATGGCTATGGAGAGGAGTGAAAGCAAAGGGAACAAGATAATAGTAACCACTGCTAAGTCAGTACCAGGCACTGTGCTGGTATACATGTCCAGCTAAATTCTCACAACATGACCATCCTTCCTAAATTAACCACCTCACCTTTCTACCCCATATCCTGCTTTGTTTTTCTTCACAGTGATTACCACTACCAGAAATTACATGATTTACTTGTTTATTCTCTATCTCTCCTCTCCCACAGAATATCAGCTCCATGAGAGTAAGGACCTTGTCTGTCTAGTTCAGTGATATCTCCAGGCACCTGGAACAGTGCCTGACACAACAAATGTTAAATATGTATTTATTAAATGAAAATGTATAACTCCTTATAGATCAGTTTTATTATTACTCCCCTTCGGATCCAAGTCAGTGGCACTCAAATGTCTGGTTAGCCTGGCCCGAACAGTGTCTTCCAGGGACTCAGAAGGTCAACTGGACATGAACCAGTCTTAAGCAGCTGTAGGGCTCAGGATGACCTGGGGAGCTGGTCAGACCATGTGGATGCCCAGGTCGTGGCCACCTGGCTTTTTCATCAGACTGGTAACCTTGTCTCCCGTGTGTTAGATGCCCTGCCAGAAAAGGGCGAAGTGGAAGCTGGAGATGACACCTGAGGAGGCAGGATTGGGCTGGAGCCCTAGCTTGGGCAGGGAAGAAACCTCGGGCCCTGGTGTCCAAGCCCACCCTGGAGTCACTCCTGGTAGCTGGCCTGCAGCGCCACCTCGTGGCCAAAGTTCAAAGGTGCTTTTCCTCCCCCTGTCCCCGGCTGCTCAGAATCCAGGCAAGCTGGCCACTACTCCAACTTGCAAGACTCCTGAGTATCTCTGGCATCAGCCTTCAGTCATCCCTCCAGTCCTTTAGCTTTGAATGAACCTCTCTCATCCTCAGGGACTCCAGGTCCACTTCATGCAGGAAGCCTCTTCTGGTCAGTGATCACTCTCCTCGGCCTCCAGACTACTCACTGGGTATCACTGTTGACCTCTGGGTTCTTAGGTCTGGGGTCAGACAAATCTGGCTTTGAACACTGGAGTGTCCATTTACCAGCTGTGTGACCTGAGCAAGTTACCTAATCTCTCCGAGCCTTAGGTCCCTGATGCTAAGCAGAGATGGCAATTCCAGTCTCACAGGGTTGTGAAGAGGATTAAATGAGATCAGGTCTGTAAATGGAAATAAGAGAGCCTAGCAATAAGGAAACTCGGGAAATAGAAAGTCTCTTCCCACCCCTTTCTAACTTCCTCTTCCCTTTCCTGAAAAAGGAAGCATGATGAAATAGGAGGCACAAGAGTCACAGGACCCGGGTTCTCTGGGCCTTGGTCTTCTTGCTCTCTGTAAAATAAGGCCATGAGACAACTGCTAAATCTATTCATTCATTTTCTCACTCACTCATTCATTCATTTTCTAGACATTCTAAACAGTGAGTGTGTCTTTTATATCCATTCACTCACCTGTGCCAGATGGTGTCTCATGCTTCAGTATCAACCTGTCAGTATCCAGCACAGTGCCTGGCTGAGGATACTGGAGAAAATCCTTCCCTACCAAGAACATGTTTCCTGCCTTCCCTTCCCTGCCCCAAGAGAACACCCAGCCCTGCCTGGCACCAGGTGCCCCCTCCCCCCCCAGCCTGAGAAACCAGAGCTGGCGCCACTGGGTGAGGAATCTGGGGACCAACTGTCACAGCTCCGGTATCACCCGCCTCTGGGATGCCTGGGTCCGGCCCGGAATCCCAGTGGGGCTCCATCAGCCAGCTGTCCTGGGGGACCCTAGCTGTGCCCCAGCCCCTCTGAGCTGCTCTCCCTGGGGAAATCAGAGAGGGCAGGTGACCTGCTGGAGGGAGTTCCGGAGTGGTACTGGAGGAGGAACAGAGAGGAGTTTGTCTGTCCATGTCCAAACCTAAGGCTGGGCGGCAAAGCCCTTGGAGACTGGGTCCACAGCGGAGGACCCAGAGTGGCCTCCTCTCTCCTCCAAACTCTGCAGCCTTCCAAGTCCCAAAGACTGTTTTGCCCTCACATTTATTCCCGTTTGGCCATGTTCTGTGGGTCAGATAGGCTAGTTTCTGTGTCTTTCTGTGGGCAGAGAGCAAGTCTGTCATTTCTTTTGTGTGTCTTCAACAGAATTTTACCCAATACATTCTCACTGATGGAAATTAATGAGTTGGGTGTATTTGAGCAATATGTCCAACAGAGGGAATATTGGCTGCACTCTCAGCAGGAAGGATGATGTTAGATCACAAGGCAGACTTCCCATAAGGGAGGAGTATTAAGAAAAGAAAACAAAACCCCCAGAGACTAGAATTGCCATCTCTGCTTAGCATCAGGGACCTAAAACTCAGAGAGATTAGGTAACTTGCTTAGGTCACACAACTGGTAAATGGACACTCCAGTGTTCAAAGCCAGATTTGTCTGACCCCAGAGTCTAAAAGTTTAGTAGAGGAGGTTCAGTAGGACAGATGGAGATGGCTTCTCAAGAGCAGAAGGGACACAGGTGAGATAACCTCCATAAGGACCAACCAGCTTAGAAGGGCAGCCTTGGTGGTGGCCTCCTGTGTCTGCCTCCTTCCCTAGGGGCTCTGAGAATAGGACAAGGGAGGGGCGGGCATTAGCTTTGCACCCCAGCCCTTGATACCCGGTGCCTGGACAGCAATAACTGGTGCTCAGTTTTGCTAGAAGAAGAGGAGGGACATAAACGCACAGAGATAAGCACAGTCCGGATCATCCACCCCACTCCTGTCCTCCAGCCTCCACTGGAGTTCTGGCCCACCCCACTCTCAACTAGGTCACCTTTCCTGCCTTGCAGCCAGACCTGTGGGTACACATCCCCACCCACACATATACAACTTGCACATAGACACACATGCTTACATTGCCAACTCAACAACTCCACAGGGGCCTCTGTTCCTCAGGCCTGAGGCCGTGTGTGTGTTAGAGACATATAGAGTTTGCCTGCATTCCAGGGCTCAACAGGAATTATGTTTGGATCTCTCCGTTTGTTTGTTTGGGATGATCTTATTTCTGCAAGTCTAGATCCAGAACTGACTTCAGGTGACTCACAGTGGGTCAGGATATCCTCCAGTGCCTGGCACGTCCTAAGAACTCAATAGGAAGTAGTTAGCTGAATGAATGCATTAAAATTAATTAACGAAGACCACAGTCTAGCTAAAGTCAATTGCCAGCAGAAAACAACCAGGGCCCCAAAACTAACAGTGATTGAACATCTAAAATGAGCCAGACACTGTGCTAGGAACTTGGCTTATTATTTCCACTTGAAAGATGAGGAAATCGAAGCTGCTCAAGAAGCATAACAGGGACTTCCCTGGTGGTGCAGTGGATAAGAATTCACCTGCCAAGGCAGGGGACATGGGTTCGACCTCTGGTCCGTAAAGATTCCAGACGCCATGGAGCATCTAAGCCCGTGCGCTGCAACTACTGAGCCTGCACTCTTAAGCCCTCGAGCCAGGAGCCTGGGTGCTGCAGTTACTGAAGCCTATGCACCTAGAGCCTGTGCTCCACAACAAGGGAAGCCACTGCAGTGAGAAGCCCGCAGACTGCAAGTAGAGTAGCCCGCGCTCACCGCAACTAGAGAAAGCCCGTGTGCAGCAACGAAGGCCCAGTGCAGCCAAAACCCAACAAATAAACAAAGAAGCAGCAGAACTAACAAGCAGCACGTTTGGCTCCAGAGACCACCTCCTTCCTCTCACACCAGGATGCTTGGGATGTACAGCTTCACCAACCACACCCTTACAGGGTTTCTGCTCTGAGCAGGGCTGTGTGCTGGACACTGGGGACCAGGGTGGGATACACTGACAACACAGTCCTGTCCTCCAAGGTCCTGAAGGGGAGACACGCCGCCTCCCCACCTTTCTGGTCATAGGCAGAGCGAAGGGTGGGGAGGGGTGGGCATAGCTATCTATTTCTAAGCAACATGTTTAAGTAAGGTCTTCAGTCCTCATGGCCATAATTCTAGATTGAGTAGGCAGGGACTTCCCTGGTGCACAGTGGGTAAGAATCCACCTGCCAATGCAGGGGACACGT